TTTCATGACATTTATGCTTTAATGAGAACGATTTAAATAACTCTTAAGAAATCATGACGCGTCGTTGTTGGTGGTTCATTGATATCAAAATCATTTCATGACATTTATGCTTTAATGAGAACGATTTAAATAACTCTTAAGAAATCATGACGCTTATGCTTTAATGAGAACGATTTAAATAACTCTTAAGAAAGTGTCCACACGATGATATATCAGATTGTTTAATAATTTAAACTTTTTATAATAAATTAGCTGAGTCTCTTAGAACTATTATCGATGCTGTTGTTGGTGGTTCATTTGTTGGCGGTTCCCTGTTGTCATAATCATTTCATGACGCTTATGTTTTAATTGAAAAAATGCTTATCAATAATTTTTAATGACTTTCTGAGAAGATAAATCTTAAAAAAATAACCAATATTCATGAATCTGAAGCATTTATTATGTTAGCAAATCAAGTTGTTGCAATTTTAAGGAAGTTAGACCAATTTGGAATAAATTTTTTTCAATCAATTTCTATGATTGAAGATAATTTATCAAGCCAAATAGTAGATTCTCAAGTATCATTAACAATAAACAGAATAATTCATATTCAAACTATTATAACCCAGGTTGAAAGAACCATCTTAACTTTAACTGGAATAATACTTCAGGTGGTAATAATCAACAATGGGGTATCAATCAAGTAAACCCATTGAGAAGTTAGAACAAGCAAGAAAATAATAATAATAGATATACTTATCCTGCAGGTTTCAACAGTAATCCATAATTTAAGAAGAAAAAATTATCTATAGAAGAAATGGTGTTATACATGGGAAATCAATTACAAAATCAAGGAGCTACAATTAAAAATATCGAGAATTAACTTGGATAAATAACAAATTCATTAAAAAATAGATCTCAAAGAACACTTCCTAGTAATACTGAAGTAAATCCGAAAGACCAGAATAAAGAACAAGCAGAAGCCGTTCAATTTAGAAGCGGAAGAGAGTTGGAAGGTAGGGTTAAAAAAAAGTTGAAGTAGAGAGAGAAGAAATTGAAGAATCAAAAGAGGACGTTCTAAAAGATTCTGAAAGACATATTTCTCTGCTGAAAATTAATTTTGAAAAACTACCACATACATTTCCTCAGAGACTTCGTTAACTGAAGTTGGATAGACAATTTTCAAAATTTATGAAAATTTTTAAGAAACTTACAATTAATATTTCATTTGCTGAAGTCTTAGCATAAATATCAATGTATGTGAAGTTTATGAAATATATTTTTAATAGAAAAAAAAAATTTGAAGATAATGAGATTGTTGCACTTAGTGAGGAGTGCAATGTTATAATTCAGAAAAAAAATTCCTAAAAAGCTTAAAGATCCTGGTAGTTTTACAATTCCATGTGCAATATGAGTCAGATTTTATGCGAAATTTTTATGTGATTTAGGTGCAAGCATTAGTCTTATGTCATTATCAATATTTAAAAGATTGAGATTAGAAGAAATAACCTCTATTACTGTAACTCTGCAGTTAGCAGATCATTCAATAACGTACCCTAAAGGAGTTATAGAAGATGTCCTAGTGAAAGTGGATCAATTTATCTTTCTTGTTGGTTTTATTGTGTTAGATATAAAGGGAGATAAATAAATATCTATTATTTTGGGGAGACATTTTCTAGCCACATGAAGAACACTGATAGATGTGCAGAAAGGGGAATTAACTATGCGCGCAATGATCAAACAATTACTTTTAACATTTCAAGATCAATGAAGTATCCTGCAAAAGGTAAATATAATGAATGTTATAAGATATCTGAGTGAATGTCATTTTAGAACAAATTATGAAGAAAAATTTGAAATCAAAGATTTGAAATACGAGCGAGAAGAGGAATCTAATCAACTTGAAAATTTTTATAAGGAAAATTCAAATTATATTTGAGAAAATTTTGAAATTCTGGACACAACAAAAAAGATAAATCATTTTGTGCATCGATTAAAAAATCTCCAGAACTTGAGTTGAAATATCTTCTTTATCATTTAAAATGTCTTTTTAGGTGTTTTCTCTACTTTACCAGTTATAATTTCCTCAAAATTAACGTGAAAGAAGAAGAAAAATTGATGAAATATTTGAAAAATTTTAAGAAAGTCTTTGGATGGACAATAGCTGATATTAAAAGAATCAGTTCTTCAGTTTGTATGCATAGAATTCACATTGAAGAGAACTGCAAACCCAGGGCTAATTTTCAAAGAAGATTAAATATTATTATGAAAGAAGTTGTAAAGAAAGAAATTATAAAGTGGTTGGATGCTGGAATTATCTACCCTATTTCAAATAGTGCATGAGTTAGTTCAAATCACTGTGTGTTTCTAAGAAAAAAGAGTGACTGTGACTGTGACTATAAATGAACATAATAAGTTAATACCAACAAGACAAATCACAGGGTGACAAATATGTATGGATTGTAGAAAATTAAATCTTGCTACAAGAAAAGATCATTCTGCCATCACCCTTTATAGATCAGATGCTGGATAGACTAGCTGGGCATAAATACTTTTGTTTTTTGGATAGATATATTGGTTATTACCTAATTCAAATAACTCCTAAAGATCAAGAGAAAACAACGTTTACCAGTTCATATGGTACATTTGCTTTTAGAAGAATGTCATTTGGTTTATTTAATGCCCCTGCTACATTTCAAAGATGCATGATAACTATTTTATGTGATTTAATTGAAAAAAATGATTGAAGTCTTTATGGATGATTTTTCAGTGTTTGGAACTTCATTTGACTCATGTTTAGAACATTTATCAAATGTTCTTCAGTGCTGTGAAGAACAAATTTAGTCCTTAATTGGGAAAAATGTCAATTTATAGTGACAGAAGAAATTGTATTAGGACATCAAATATCAGAAAATGGTATGAAAATAGATCCTGCTAAAATTCAAGTGAACGCTAATTTTTTTTATTCAACCAATGTAAGTGAAATTATGAATTTTTTAGGACATGCTGCATTCTACAAACGATATATTAAAGATTTTTCAAAATTGCTAAGTCTTTATGTCATTTACTGAAGAAAGATTTACTGAAGAAAGATGTAATTTTCAATTTTGATGATGAGTGTCTAAAAGCTTTTGAATTATTAAAAGAAAAATTAGTTACTGCACTAATTATAGTTTCACCAGATTGGTGAAAATCTTTTGAACTAATATGTGATGCTAGTGATTATGCTAATGGAACTGTTTCAGGACAAAAATATGATAAAATGTTCAAAGTAATTTAATAGAATTCAAGTTAGTTTGTTGAAGTGGAGGAATGCATCGGGCCTATTGTGTGATAGAAAAGTGTCGCATAGACTGAAAGGAAAATTTAATGAGATGGTGGTGAGACCTGCAATGCTTTATGATGCAGAAAGTTGGCCTTTAAAAGACAAGTATAAAACAAAATTAATTGTTGCTGAGATGAGAATGCTTAGGTGGATGAAGGTGGATGAGTGGTTTGGAGTGGTTTGACACTTAGAGACCAAATGCGAAATGAATATATTTGTGATAGGGTTGGTGTAGCTCCATTGGCGGACAAAATTAGAGAGAGTCGTCTCATATGGTTTGGTCACATTAAACTATGACCATCTGATGATCTGGTTAAGAGAGTGGATGTTTTAGATTCAATTTATGTTAGGAAAGTCGGAAGTAGGCCTAAAAAGACTCGGGCGTATTGTATAAAAAATGATCTTAACCTATTATAATTAAATGAAAATATGACACTCAATAGGTCACAATGGAGAAAAAAGATTCGTGTAGGCAACCCCACCTAGTGGGATAAAAGCTTGTTGTTATTGTTTTTCATAATGATTGATTTTGCTTTATGAATGCTAGTTGTAAAATAATCCTCGACCAGCTTAGAAACATATGGCATGAAGCAATGGCAGATGCACGTTTTCATCCATTGTGAAATATCTGCAGCTTTATCCTTTACCCACTTTTTGTTGATATATAAGTCATGCAATTATCTTAAAGGTGATCTATGGAACGATAGATTTTTTACTCAATGATGGATAAGATGGTTTAGCTCTCAAAAACTCATGTGGGCTTGTTTAGAATCGTCAAAATTTCTCATTTTTGTGTTGAAAGATAATAGGATACCAAATGGGAATATTCCCAAAATTTCTTAGAAGAATTTAGAGATTACCAACGATTTGATGGGCAATTACCATCTTTAATAATTTTGTAGAGACCAAGGAAATTTTCAACTTAGGAAAGTTTCAATTTTTTTTCCCCTTTCTTTCACTTTATTCTAAGGCCAGTTTAGGCTTATTGATTATTTACACTTAAAACGGTTTTTATTTCAGCAATCAACTTTTTCTTCCCCCTCTGAGGATACATTGGGTTGATCCACTCAAATTAATTGCGTTAAGATACTATCACAAGGTGTAATCAAATATTAAGTATTACTAGGAAAGTTGTGCAACCTCATGTCCTGCACGGTTCATGTTGCACTCGAGCATCAACTCCCATGGTTGATTAGATGCACTCAAGGAAAATTGGATTCAATATTGTTTAGTTTGAGCATTTTCTAAAAATATAAGAATATATGGAGTAATTCAAAAGTCTCTACATTGGACCAAAGTAATTTTCCATCCAATGGATCTTTGGTTTTTCCTCTACATCAGAAAGTTGAAGGAGTTCATGGTTTCTTTGCAAGAGAAGCAGAAACTTTTGATTAATGCTTCTTCTGAACAGTATTCAAGTACATCACTGATTGCCTAGGCTAAGAATAGCATTATTTGATAGAGTTTTCTTTAAAAAAAGTGATCTGGATTGGATATAATTTCCCTGTTCCCATGCTATCTTTTTGAATTGAATGGGTTGTGATTTGATGATTTGTCTTCAATGCTGAGCTTGTCAAGGCAACTGCATTTGAAGCTCCAATTTAAACCCTTTACTTGAAATTTGAGTTATAATGAGTTTATATAGAATCATGTTGATCATGCTTCTCTCTCTTATCGAGCATTACTTTCCCAGGGAATGCATACTGATGAAAGGGACAATAAGGAAACTGATACTGCACTCACGGAGGAGGCTAAGAGGTGGGTATAATTCAAAATTTTTTGGGTCTAAGTTGCTGCTTGTCATATAACTTGTTCGCATATGAGAATATTACATTATTCTGCATCTCTATTTTTAGATTATATTTATCTTTGCATGGATCTCGACAATGCTCTTTTCTTATTGATTATGCACATGGTTGGTTGCATTTACATTCTACTGCGGAACAAGGAATTTTAATGTTTCCTTGACATAATTTATGGTCTTCAACAAGGCTTAGCTTGGTTTGACACTTTTAATCTCATCAACTTTGGCGCAGCTTTTGGATTTTATGTTCCGTTTCGTCTATTTTTGGGAGTTGTGATTAAACTTAGAGATTTGATTTAAACTCAACATTTTCGGATTTATCTCTACCATGATTCTCAATTAGTGATCAAAACTTGAAATCCTATCATAATTCCTTTGTTTAGGTTCTTGATATTCTTTTGTGAGCATTTAGCTTACTCTCGTTCATATTATGGTCATATCCCAGCTCTTTCTCAATTGTCTGAATAATTTAAGAAGTTAAAAAAATTTACTAAACCAATACTATAACATTGAGTGCTGCCCTAAAAATTTTATTCACAAATTGATACCGGAGGACGCCCAAACCACCATGAAAAAGCACAATTATTATTATTGGATTTAAAAGGCACAAACGAGACCGTTGCGAACATGAAATAAACTACAACACATGTAAACAATAAACGACAATAATGAAGGCAGAAATAAGAAAAAGGAAATAAAACAAGACAAAAGCAACCCTCTCTAGATGGACACAAGTCTGGAGTACGTGAGCCTCGGTCATGTTGGCAGTGGTGTGGTTGCGGCTGTAGAGGTGAAAAACCGACAGCTGGAAGTCAGGGCAACAGGTAAGTGGTCGTCGATAGTCTGGACAACAGCCAAAAAGTGGGTGGCGTGGTTTGGACAGCAACCGGAATGCTGGGCAACAACTTGAAGAGGGATGGCGGCTGGACTGCAATGGAAGTGGGATGGCGGGATCTGGATGGTAGCTAGAATGATGATGGTCGGAATGTTGGTTAGCAGCCTGAAGGCGGATGGTGCGATCTGGACAACAGCAGAAAAGATGGTAGCGACTGCTAGAAGCGGGACCAGAGGGGGTTGCGGTAGGATAAATGTCTCATCAGGGTCGACCTACAGCTGGAGCACTAGCCGGACCCTTGGAGATTGTCACCACCTTGGACGAGTTACAGCCGGAGCACTTTCTTGTCTTCGAGTACAACCCCTAGAGGGGAAAAACGCTTCAAAAGCAGCACTCAGAAATCTGTACTCGTAAAAATGCTCTCTAAAACACTCGACAGCTATATATATAATGAGAATTTTTAAATAGAATAGGTAATGCTTAGGAAAGGAAAGAAAAGAAATAGAAAAGATAGACATAGAATAAGTAGGAAATAAAGTAGGAGAATCATTGAAAAGGAATGGAAGAGGGAGGGAAACGAAAATGGAAGGGGGAGAAGTGTTGGGCCGCGGAACTGTAGCAGCTACAGTACCGCATGCAAAAAACGAAGGGGGAGAAGAGTTGGGTCGCGGCACTGTAGCGGCTAAAACACCCGGGTTGCGGCCCTGCACCGTGTTCGCAGCACTGTAGCGTCTACAACACCGTGTTTGCTGCACTGTAGTAGCTATAGTGTCGCGACCCGGGGATGCTTATCACAAATCTTCTTCTAAACACTTGGAAATTCATCACAAACAATCGCATCTATTTCTTTACTATATTGTCTTGTACAAATTGGCATCCATGCTGATTATTTGATTATTTTTAGTAAATCAATGGGTTATTGTAACGGTTGTCCCTTTATTTTGAGTCAATGTTAGTTTTGTTATTTTTCTCATGAGTTATTTACTTTTTAGGCTATATATTTATGGTTCAATAATCTGCATGATTTCATATATTAACTTCGAAATATATCACAAATTTAATATTGACTATCATATTATTTAATAGTTTTTTTTGAAATTTTTTAACAATAAAAATCAGCCAAAATAAATACTAAATTGCAATCAAAATTGCTAAAGTCAAAATTTTTGCAGCAAAGTTAAATTGAAAAATCTGAGTGTTAGTTGCCTAATTCTGTGTTTGAACAACTCAAATAATCTCTTTTAATTGAGAACGATACTCGATTAAATAATAAAAATTATCAAAGAAGAAAGATCCAACACTTTTACCCCTACGCGCTGCTTAACATTTAATTTCGGTACATGTATATTCTATGGTGAAATTCTTTTGGAATGCTATGATACTTCACTTTGGAAAAAATCAGAAGCCCATTGTTTAGTGGTTTACTTATATGAAAAATTAAAATTTACATACCCCATAAAAACAAGAGGTCAATTCACTTTAATTGTCATGGGAGAGTTGCATTTTCATTTTTAATAGATTTATGCACATATCATTGAAAACTTCCTTATTCATAAAAACAAATATCTTGGCTCATGAAACAAACTATCAAATCTTTATCTTTGTGCATTTTATGAAAAAAGCAATGAAAAATTAATGAAATAAAAAAATATGGGTTGGGATTTTATTGTGCTCTTAGAGGCATGGATGGTATTATTATAAATGGAATTGTTGGGTGTTCTTTTTGTAAATAGACTAGATTCGGATGTTTTGTAAAAAATTTACTTCTATTTTTTTTATTATAGATAAATCTTCACCTGTCACTTGTGGTAGTTATAACCATATGGTGCATACATTTGGATGTTCTAATGACAACTTGACTCGCATCATCTCTTCAGTGAAAGGCACATTGAGTCCAAGGGCAATAACTTTGATGTGGAGAACAGCACGGAAGAACCTTGTATGTCATCATGTAACAACGCTGCAGCTATTGATGGTTCTTTTACTCGAGAAAATGATAGTGGTGCTAATTCTTCTGTCCCAGAATTAAATCCGCCACTTGTATCTGAGCATCCTGTTGTGAATGAAAAATTTGATGGCTACACCGATCAACAAAATTTGAATTACATTGAACTGGTTAAACAGTGCCATGAAGTCCAGCTGAGGAAAGACAAGATTTCGGAACAGCTTAGGCAAGCAAATTACTGGAACTTGCAAACTCAGGTCCAATCTCTGACTACTCAGCAGCAGCACGTCTCTCTCACCGGTGGTTCTGAACTTGTCCGAAATACCTCGTGTCCTTGGTGCACATGTCAATGTCCCATGGCCGGCGCACAGTGGTGCACGTGTCAATGTCCCATGGCCAGCGCACAGTCAGTGGGATGTGCTTTTTGTCCGCAACAAATCTTGCACTGTTCTGGGTCTCAAGTTCAGCAAAAAGCTGGAGGTTTTCCCCTCTCTCTCTCTCTCTCTCTCTCTCTCTGTGTCTCTCTCTGTTTGCTTCACTAATCATGGCAAATGTTCAATGTTGTCCTCAGTTCCCGTCAACTCTATGAATTATTTAGTTCGAGGAGACAACAGAGCAGTTGAATCAGGGGCCATGCCTGCGGGATTGGGTAGAGATTCTGTCAAAGCAGACTTGTCAAGGGATTTTAATCTTCAGGAAGGTAATTATATCATTTATAATTCAACTTTTGAAGTGCCCTCACTAGGATTTCTGATTGCTAATGATTTTTTTTTAAGTGATGTTGATACCAGAACTCGTTAAGATGTAGTGGAACATAAAAAAAAAAAAATTATCAATATAGAAATAGTTTTACAACTAGACCTAGGCATTAGGCGTGCGGTTCGACTGGCTCGCCATAAGCCCGTTTAGAATATGGGCGAACTTAGCTATGAAAAAAATTAAATTTTGTGGGCTTGGCCCGGTTCGTGCCCTCTTTGACTTAGTCAAAGCCCGAACGAGCTTGACCCATTAAATTTTGATTTTTATTTTGATAGCAACCAAATCTTTTATATGGCATGAAAATTATCACTTTCAAATTTTTAAAAGTTCAAATAAAACTTTTATGAATATATATGATGACAAATATGTAAAGATTAAAGTCTGTGTTAGATATATAATTAAACAGAAATTGATGAGTAGTATTTATGTAAATCTTTTTTTTTTGCAGTATTTTACTCAATTTCTTTGTATTTACATATCGAGATGTTCTCAATTTAAAATATTATGTATTTCATGTTTATACATTTGCTATTAATCATTTAAACGTATGAGAAAAATTTGTACATATAAAATCAATATAAAACACTTGTCGCAAATCCTTTCATGTTTCAAACGTTCATATTATATACGTGCTTGAATATTTTAAATAAACAATATGATTCAAGAGAAAATGTTAAATTTATTATTTTTTTATTTTTTGGTATAAAAAAATCACTTTTTTTTAAAACCTGTGACGGCCCGAGGGCTGGCTTGACCCATTAAGTGGGCGGGCCTTACTATGAAATTATAAATAGAATTCGGGCATAAGACCGACCCGACTCGCTTTGACTAGTCAAAGTCTGAGTAAGCATGACTCATGCCAAACTCGAGCCGCCCATTGCACTGGTCTAGTTACAACATGACTCAAACGGAAAGGAAATACAATAGTAGATTAATCTCCAGTTAAGGTGGAGATCCGAAGGCCGTGGTGGCAGTGGATGGTAGGGAAAGGTGGGGGAAGGTTGGGTGGCTGGTTGGGTGGCTGGTTGGGTGGATTGGGAGGTGTTTAGTTGGTTATGGGTAAGTTGGTCAGCAAGGTTGTGAAGGGAGTAGAGGTGGCAGCAGGGTAGTGGAGAGATATGGGAGTGGTTGGCGGCTAGGGGGAGAGGTAGGAGAAGGGTTGAGGAGAAGAAGTGGAGGAGATTGGAAGGATACAACACTACCTCGGAGCACGGAGCAGGATACAACCAAAGCCACTACTATCGTTAGATACAACCCTAACAAGAGGGAAAGGGACTCCACACAGGAGGTTTGAAGATAGGACAACCAGAATTGACTCTTACACATAGAAAATAACAATTTATAAACTCCCACCTGAGAAAAATTAGAAAGAAAAAAGCCCACGCAAAAGTAAGGCAGAAGAAACCAGAAAGCGCTTTCTAAGTGCGGTAGCCTCTCGATGCTTATTCCTCTCGATGCTTATTCCCGGATCGCGATAGGTTGTGATACCACCTTTGCTTCGTGCCTCCTTCTTCCCTCGCTTCCGCTCCGCTCTCCCCCCCGCCCCCCCCACGTGACGCTTTGCAGGGTTTTTGATCCCCATGGGTTCGAGGCATCCGGCCTCGGGGTGCTTTCAGCGCCCACACCCAGGCGCTATTTATCGCCCACGTCAGATGTATTGGGACCTTGCTTTGTTTTTTCTCTTCCTTTGCTGTTAGTTTAGACAACATACATGTGATTTGGTGATTCCATGTATTTTTTTTATTCTCTCTTTCTGACCATGTTTGTGAAAATTTGATAAGAAGCATGGTTTTTTTCTTTGCTGAACTGATGGTTACCCTGTATATCATTCAAAGTAGCGTACCCAAATCATTAACCATCTTCACTTTCTAATTCCAAACACATTTCTTTTGGATCTTTTTCTTTGAGTACTCATTTGAATAATGTCCTATTATGTCTGCCGCCTGATGATTAAACATCAGAAACAGTAATTTGACTCTTGATGGCTTGTGTTTTGATTGAAGTTTTTTGTAAAGCAGTTTTTACAGGCTAAACCTGAATGGTATGTGTGTCAGTTAGTTGATTTCTTTCAACGTTGTTTTTGTCCTTGAATACACAGAATGGATATCCAAATCTTAGACGTCATATATTTGCTGCATCCTTGTGATGTTAAATTCACTCCCATTTTGTTGTCATATAGTTGGAGAGAAAGATGGTAAAACATGGGATTATGTTAACCTTTCATAGTTTTATCGTTACTTATGCTAATTGTCCTCTTTATGCTTCTTGAACTATTGTTGGATGATCTATAAATATGGCTTTCTCCATTGTCCACTATCCTGTGAGCAGTTTTATTCTCGTATTTTTTAGCTGCCAAGTTGGATTTAAAGTTTGTTACACATTCTGACGTGAGTGGGAAGAGTCTTCTTGATAGTGCAATATATTTTTTAATTGTGTAAGTGCTAGGGCGTCCCCTGAAAGCGACGCGCTGTATAGCCTAAATACAGTGAAAATTGTGCAAGGGCTGCTACACCGAAGCTCGGGTGTAGTGTCAAATAAACAAGGGTTCCCACATTACGGACGACACATTACGGACGAATGCAACGGACGAATGCAGGTAAAGAAGTTAGTCTATGAAACTAATGAAACTAATATTAGGATAAAATTTTGGAATATAGGTACTCTTAATGATAAATTAATGAAATTAGTTGATATTATGATTCATAGTAAAATTAATATCTTATGTATTCAAGAAACTAAATGATTTGGAGAAAAGGCTAAGGAGATTGATAATTTAGGTTTTAAACTTTGATATTCTGTAAGAGTCGCACTAGAAATGGTGTGGGTGTAATTATAGATAAGAGTTTGAAAGATAATGTTGTAAAAATTAATAGAGTTGGAGATAGAATTATAGCCCTTAAGATTATCATTGATAATTAGATTTTTAATATTATAAGTGTTTATGCTCCTCAAGTAGGTTCAGATACAGGGTCTAAAGATAAATTTTGGAATGACTTAGAAGAGTTAATACAAATGATACCTCTTGAAGAAAAAATTTTTATTGGAAGAGATTTAATTAGACATGTAGGTAAAGTTGTAGAAGACTTCAGAAATACTCATTATGGCTACGGTTTTGGAATAACTAATGAAGAAGGTATAATTATTTTAGATTCTGCTTTAGCGTATGATTTTATTATTACTAATACTTTATTCAATAAAAGAGATGAGCATTTTATTACTTATAAGAGTGGATCTAGTAAAACACAAATTGATTATTTTCTTATGAGAAGAAGAGATCGTAAATATTGTAAGGTCATTCCAAGTGAGAATTTAGGTACCCAACATCGTTTATTAGTTCTAGATTTTAAGATGAAGAGTTATAAAATAAATAATATTAAGACTCATCATCGTAGAATTAGATGAAGGAACCTAAAAGACAAATAAAATTATTTTTATGAGTAAAATTCAAGGTTTTAAAAATTTGAGATGTTCATGAAGAAGCAAATGTTATGTGGGATAAAGTGACAAACACTATTAAATAAGTAGCAAAAGATGTATTTGGAGAATTAAAAAAAAAGTTTTTATAAATAAAAATAGTTGGTGATGGAATAATAATGTGCAAGAAAAAATAAAATATAAGAAGTTCTGTTATAAAAATTGGTTTAAATGTAAAAACTTAGATAATTGGAAAAAATATCAAACGGCTAGTAGGGAGTCTAAGAGAACAATCTGATTAGACTCCCTGCTAAAAATTATGTTTTTAATGATCCTTATAATAGATTAGATACTAAGGATGGTGAAAAATACATTTATGTAAAAACTAGCCAAACAAAAAGAAAAGAAAGTTAAATATTTAGCACAAATGCAAAAAAGATAAAAATCAAAAAGTATTTTTCTTAAAGGAGGATATTTAATATAGGTGGGTGAGCTATTTTGATAAATTTTTCAATAAATTTTCTAAACATAAGATCGGTCTTAGTGATCTTAATATAGTTAATAATAATTCAATGTTTTATTTTACCGTCGCACTACTAAAAAAGAAAACTAATGATAAAAAATCAATAGTAATTGATGATATCCAAATTGAAGTGTGGAAATATTTAGGAGATTTTGGAGTTTCTTGGCTTACTAAACTTTTTAATATTATTTTAAAAACTAAAATGATGCCTGAGGAGTGGAGGAAGAGTATTTTGGTCCTATTTTTAAGAATAAAGGGGATGCACAAGATTGTTTTTAAATTATAGAGGAATTAAGTTGATGTGTCATACTTTAAAGTTATGGGAGAGGGTAATTGAACATAGGTTGAGACACATTACAAAGATTTCTCATAATCAATTTGGATTTATGCCAGACAGGTCTATCATGGAAGCTATACATTTATTGCGAGGTTTGATGGAGAAGTTCAGAGATAATAAGGAGAATCTACATTTGATTTTTATTGATTTAGAAAAAGCTTACGATAAAGTTCCAAGAGATCCTTTATAGAGTTCTTGAGAAGAAAGGTGTTGATATGACTTATATTCAAGTCATTAAAGATATGTATACTAGAGTTGTTACTTGTGTTCAAACTGAAGGAGGATTGACCAAATATTTTCCTATTTCTGTTGGATTACATTAGGGATCGGCTTTAAGCCCAAATCTTTTTTCTTTAGTTATGGATGGTCTTACTGGACATCTACAGGACGATGTACCTTGGTGTATGTTTTTTGCTGATGATATCCTTTTCATGGATAAAATGAGAGAAAAAGCCCCGGAAAAACTTGAATTATGGAGGTTTACATTGGAGTCTAAAGACCTTCATTTAAGTAGAACTAAAACTGAATACATGAAATGTAATTTTAGTAGTAGTAGCTCTAGTGATAGAAGTGTGACTTTGGGTGATCAAATTATTAAAAGGTGTTAACGATTTAGATATCTTGGGTCCGTTGTTGAAAGCGATGGGGATGTTAATAGTAGAATTCA